TCAATGATAATGTAAGTTAAATTTATTAATTAGTCAACCTGTTTTATTTATTTTTGTAAGTTGAATTGGACTAAAAATTCTACCGATTCACTCAACTCATTGACATGACGGATTCAATATTTAATCAATATTTTTATTATATAATTTAATTTATATTTTTAGATAATTATTTTTATTTTAGATGAAATAAAAATATATTATTTAATTATATATTTTTATTTGTATATTTTCATGTATAGTGTCTTTTATTGATAGAAATATATATTATTTTAGTTCTTGACATGAAAAAATAACTTTTCTAATCAATTTTATAAACAATAATAAAATTATAAGTTGAATTGAAAATGTATATCAAATATTTTAATTGAGATTTGTTTTAAAAAAATTGGATAGGTCGAAGATAAACTAACTTATCAAGTAACTAATTATTTTTAATTATCCACTAACTCACTAAAATAATCCATCAATTCATTGTTAAGTAAAGCAAATTATATCTTTCAACCCTATTTTATGTGGGCCAACTTGTCTTGTTTCGATATATTTTATGGGTCAACATGCTCCATCCCACTTTAGGTGGATTACCAACTTTATCATTCCATAAAGAAGAGCAAATAAACAAAGAAAGGGAGAAAAAAAGAGATTTATTTTGAGACTATATTTGATATTTTAAAAATGATTGTGTAGTAAACAAAAGAAAAACTTATATATATAAAATAATAAAAATATCTCTAATAAAAAGTATAGAAAAATAAGAATAAGTTATTATTATATCCTCTAAAAAAAATGTAATTATTATATTTGCTTTTTTTCAGAAAAAAACGAAAATTATATTACACCCGCTTATTTTATTGATTTTTTTAAAGGGTCAGATGTAATATTACCAAACTATTCTCTGACTTGAGCACTGGAATTTTTGTAGATACATATTGTTAAGTTTCCTATGTCCAGTATTCACAAAACAATTTGCAGCTATAAATAGTATCAATATACATGAGTTAGGTTTAACCACTTTTGGTCAACTTTGAAGATGAAAAATAATAATAATAAAAAAATTCTCACTAACTGGTTAAGAAATTAATATATAAAATTTTTAACTGAAATCTATAATAAAGTTATATAAAAAATGTGTTCATATAGTTTTCATAAATTTGTAGTTTTAATTTATTAACCATTACACAACATCTTTATTGGTAGAATCTATTTATTTTTTTTAATTCTACTCTTGAGTCTTGACACCGAGATTTAACAACTTTTTGTATTTTTTTTTCTCCAAGAAGAACCGAATTTGGATTTTTAAGAATCGGTTTTACACGCGGTAGCTAAATCATTAAACTGCAATGGTGAAAAAAATAAGAATAATTTCTTATTCCAAGAACTTATATAAGAACAGAAACATGTTCTCAAGATTATTTTTTTTCTTCCTCTAACCATCCAATAACCACAAAATCACAGGAGGGGATGAGGGAGGAATGAAATCTATTAGTAGCCCTCCTCCATGCGAATAAAAAATCATGTTATTTTATGCATGTTAAAATATTATTTATTATATTTATAAAAATATTTTATTCATACTAATTAATATTTATTTATAATAATTAAATTTAATTTTTAAGTTCTCAAAAAAAAAAACAAAAGAAGTGTAAATAATAAATTATAGAAGAGTGGATCCCTTATATGATTTTTTCATTAGAGGAAAATTTATAATTTATAAAAATGTAGTGAGTTGCTTAGAAGTGACATAAGATGATTGAGCCCTATTAAAATAGAATAAAAACCTGAAAAATGTGATTTAGACTTGAAAAATGTTAAGGGATCATCTCAAGTATCACTCATATATATTGGTGATATCATATATTAACTTCTAAACAATTTCACAAATTTTCAAAATAAATATTATTTATATATCTTAAAATCATTGTTAGAACTAAAATTAATAATTTTGAATTTTAGAAGGATAAATATCAAAGAAAAATATTGTTTACAGAGATTAGAACCAAAATTTACTCATTTTATAAAGGCAAAAAATATTTTATAAGAATAAAAAATAATGTTTACAAATTTTGGAAAGATGAAAAATAAAGAAAAAAAATTTATAGAAACTAAAATAAAAAAACTCACTCAATATACTTAAGCCTTTATTAGGTTCATTTTGGTTAAAATGTAAATCTTGGTCATTTATTTCCTAAAGTTGAGTTAATTTGATCTTTCTAAAACAATGATTATTTTTATTTTTTGGACATGATTTATTTTTAAAAAAAATTATCAATTAAAGACTAGAAATATTTATTATAATATTCACTTATATGAGAATTATTGAACTCAATTAAAGTTCAAATAAAAAGTGTTACAATCATAGTAAAAATTATATAAAAATAATTAAAAAAATTAATAAAAAAATTTCAAAAATATAATTTTATATTATTTTTTAAGTCACTCATGAAACATATTTTTCATATGATTTTTACTATATTTATAACTCTTTTAAAATCAAATGTCAATTAAATTTTATAATTTTCAAATAGTTAAATTTAATATTACAAATTTTGCATATTAAATTCTATTAAAAATTGATTCAAAATTGTATTGTAAAATTAAAAATTATTATTTTAAAGGGATCTAATCTACATATAAAAAGATAAATAATTAAAATAAATTTTTTAATAAATAAAAGATTAAAATGAATCTTAAGAAAAAATAATAAAAAATAAGATATTGGAAAAAAATTATAATTTAGCAAGATAGAAAATGTATAAAAAAAAAAAAAATTATGTGCAATCTTACATACCTTACGTGTGTTAATATAATGTATACTTTACATGAAAAGTAAAGCTCAACATTGAACCAACTGTGTTAGTAATAGCTCAATTGCATACCCAGCTGGCCCCGTTGTTTTCTTGTTGGCAGTTATCATATTCAGCCTTCTGTAGTTTTTCTTCAGTAATATTAGGAGGAATGGATAAAGAAAAATTCTAATCCCTCATAATTGTTTTAAATCAGATCATTGAGATAATGTCTTTCTGAAACTAAGAAACACAAAACGAATAGGCTCTTCTGCTACAACGATTACGATGCCAACACAATAGAACGGGCTTGTGAATCATTGTCATTGTCATTAACGTGAGTGAATATGCTTTGTCAACTACAGGGAAGCAATTGAAAACGAAAGCAATATGGTAGTATGGTTGTAAGAATTCTGATTTTCGCTTTTGTTTATGTACAAAAAGGAGAAAGTTGGGCGTAGCATGGTTTCATAAAAACTCATTGAACACTTGCCAGGCCGAGGCGTCTGCATTTACACATGAAAAAAGAGCTATTTGAGGTCCAATAGTGATTCTGTAGACCCTTCGGGTGAAATATTTAACTCTTAACAATTTCTTGGATATAGGTCCATTTAAGGCATTACCATGTTCAGCTGAATCTTACCTTCATGCTTGTTGAGAACAAAAAAAATTTCTTTTCTTTTTCGTGATGAGAAACACAATATTAAAATAATGTCATAAAAAAAATCATATAAATTTATTTAACGTGATTTAGTCTCTCATGTTTACGTCTACAAAGATGTTCATTATTTATTTCAAAATATGTTACATATATCTTGAAAATCTTCCCATCAAGTTTTGTGGGTTAAACTTGAAAACCCTTTCTTTACAAGTTTTATGGATGAAACTTGAAACCCCTTTCCTCACAACTTTTATGAGTGAAACTTAAAAACTCCTTCCTCATGAGTTTTTTGGTGAAACTTGAAAATCATCCATCATTCACAAGTTTTCTAGCAAAACTTGGAAACCTTCCTTCATATGATATCCTCTCTCATTTAAGGCTGTGACCCCCTTTACACGTCGGGTGGTTCTTCATATGACCTTCTCTCATTTAAGAGTTTTTATATATTGACCTTACATCATTATTTTTAAAAAAGAAATATCTAAAATAAATACAATATATTTCAATTCTAAATAATATCTTAAAAAAATCAATATCTTTTAAAGTCTAAATAATATCCTAGAAATTTAAATTTAAAAATTTAAATTGTTTTCCCAACAATGCTAACCATATGAACTTTTATATACTGGTAGCATTGTAGCATATAGAAAGTCGTCAAGGATTTTATTGCTTAAATAATTTTCCAAGCTAGTAGCATATATATACGAGTTTGGCATCATTAATGTCATACCTAAAAGTTAAAATCCAATGAATTGATTCGCACCACGACGCCTGACGTTGGCTTGTAACTTCTTTTTCTCCCTAGATAAAAGCAAAAGAGGGAATTCGCATAACAGTGATCATCATACAAAACATAGTATTTTATAGGAATTGATAGGTAATTGAGATAAACTCAAATGGTGATTAATGAATTCAGAAGTAAACCGATTCAAGCATATACGTTTCTCCACCATAAATGGTTGATAATGTATCAGTGTGAGTATTATAGCTAACACATTGATAATCACTAACCAGTTCTCATTTAAAGTGCACAAGATCTGCATCCAAGCTTGACTGAAAATTATGTAACCCCAATTACCCAATTGTATTTATTAAATATAGCGGAAGAACACTAAATGGTAAACTAGGAAGGAACCAAATTGGTAGTAGCATAGGTGGAAAAGAGAAGTGGAGTGACCCCAATTACTGTCCAACATCCTCAATTCCTCGTGGCAGGTTCAAAGTCCACTCACAAACCTGGCATCAGGGAAATGGCACTGCCTCCATGAATAGGACAAAATATAAAGGTAGAAAGGACAAACAAGAAACGAGCGAGTGCACCAATCTCTCCACTAAAAAGCTAACTAGCCAAATTTGTTCTTGAAAATGAAATTGTCAAAGTGGGCGGAGATTCTTCCATTTCATCATTTACAATATGCATCAGATATTAACAATAACAACGTATAAAATGTGAACAAGTTTTGTCAATCACATTTAAAACCCTTCCTATCAAGGCTAAATTTTTCTCTATCCAAAACTAGAACACGAAAGAAAAGAATGATTCTATATTTATATACTCTGAGGCAGAATCAAATCCTTTATCACAAACCAAAAGCCTCACATAATGTGACAAGCATAGGGATTTTCCTCATTGAACATTTGCGCTACATGATTATATTGGTCTATGTAGTTACCATGGCCATAACCACCATTAGCATAATCACGTGTAGGTAGCTCATAATACATTAAATTCTCCTCCTGATCCTTTTTACCCTTGCCATCAGCAGCAGCAGCACCACCACCACCACCGTTGTCTTCGCCTCCAGCCTTTTTCTTCTTCTTGGCGGTGGCACTATTCCCTCCTTTGTCACCCTCTTTCTCTCCTTCCTTTTCCTTTTCCTTCTTCTCCTTCTCCTTCTCCTTCTCCTTCTCCTTCTTTGGAGGGACAACCTCAACAACCCTCTTGAGCTTCTTGGACAACGTTCCCGCCACAACATTCACGTCCACTGTGCACTTCGCCGTCACCATCCACCATTCATCGTTACTATTTATAGCCACGTCATCGCCAACCCCTACACCGCACCATTCCAACACACACTCAAGTAGTCGATAGAAACACACATAAACAAACGCCAAATCCGAAAAATAAAAAAAAAACAAATTAAACAAACACCTTCGACCTTCAACACCGCTTTGCGAAGCCTGTTGAAGCAACCTCGGCATCGACAATACCGCGACACCTTCAACACCACGGTCTTCTCCGGAGTCTGCCCCGACCAAACCACAACAAAATATATTAAAAAAAAAAAAAAAACATTGTTACATTAATAAAAACAAATTAAAATAGAAGATTAGAACCTGTTTGTCTTTAGGTTTTTTGTCCTTGTTGGAATGGGGAGAGGTGAGTTGGACATTGTTGTTGGGCTTATCAGCGAGCTTGTTGTCTCTGTCAACGTTACCGGTGACGGTGAATTTCCCTGTGTCAATCTCCGTTTTCCATCTCTGAACGCCTTCAACAATAAGAAGGTTTAATTTGAAGGCTCGAGACTAAGTTGAGTGAAATAAATAATAAGTTAGAGAAAGCATTGAAAATTGAGAGGGATGGAGATGGAAACCGCGAAGGCATTTGAGGACTTTGGAAGCGCAACCGTGGCATTGCATGTGGACCTTGAAGACGATGGTGGGGGAGGGCGGTTCCTCTTTGTCCTTGTTGTTGACACAGTCGCAGTTCTTGGTCTGCTTCTGCCATTGAAACAAAGTGGTTAAGACGAAGGAAGAGTTGTAGAAGAAATGCAGAAGAAGGAGATGAAGTTCAACCTGACCCATCATAACTGACTCCTCCCAACTCACAAGGTCAGACTCAGGATCCCAATATCTCTCTGCTATTGCTTTTCCTATACATACCACCTGTTCGCTTTCGCTAAATATTTTCCTTTTTTTTTCTTCTATTTTTCCTATTTTTTAAATATGTTTAGTAATATTAGAGAGAGATCATTAAAATTTTTCAGGAGAACAGATTGGTCACATTTAACTTGAATTTTCTGAAAATAAATCATGAAAAGTATTAACAAACTCTCTTAAAATCGGGAAGATTAATAACTTCTTCATTAGTCCAATTTAAAAAATAGAGGGTATGTTTTACGATAACTCATAATGTGTCATACTTTTGTGGATGTAGTAAAAGAACGTTTGATATATAAATTTTTTTTACTCTTTTAAAAATTTGACATCGAAAATGTTAACTTTTCTAAAAAAAATTTATAAGTTAATGAGTTTTCTTAAAAAATGTTTTCTAAAACTAAATAAACATATTTTTAATACCAATTTCTGTTTTTACAGGTAATGAAAATAGGAAATTATTAAATCATCATCTCAACATTCTCAAAAGAAAAGTTCTTATAAAACCTAATGCTTAAAATTAAAAACTAACCTAAAAACCTTGTATTGAAAGTAGGGATAACAAATAAACGTGTACATGTGAGTAATATTTGAACTGATCATTCCAATTTTGACGAGAAATATTCAGTTTGATCAGGTACGGGTATGGGTAAAACTCAAAATATTAAATCGGGATGGAGACAGGGACGTGTATATACTTATCTGCCATGTTCCCGTCCCCATCGATCCCCGATTTGATTGTTTTAAATAATTTTAATATTTAATTATGTGTAATTGTTTATTATGATGTGAAACATGATTGTTTAATTATTAAGAAGTCTCTTGATTAAAATGTGAGATAAACAAATAACCCAATTACAACGGTAATATAATGAAAAGATAAACTAAAAATATTATGTGTTTTTTGTTGCAAAAGAAAATTAATTTTTGATGGGTACAGATATGAATATACCCGATATCTGACAAAAACAGAGATGAAACAAAAATTACATAGTTGACGAATAAAGAACAAGAACGAAGATGAATTTAAACTGCAAAGACGATACAAATATCATGAAATTCGTAACCAATCTGTCTCGTTTTCATGACTAATTGAAAAAGGCTTTTAATATACTGCATGCTCCGGTATAATTAAACTTTATTTTACATTTACGCGTTTGACAGGATATTGAAAACGCTTACAAGTTAATGCGACTAATTTATTAGTTAGTTGACAGACTAATAGCTTAAAAATGTGTTGCGCAACATATTGAAGAACTTTATAAGCTAATTTCACTAGTTTATTAGCTAACTTAACTAAAATAAATCTATTTAGCTCATCAGTTTATTTTAATAATTTTAACTAATTTTTATAAATTAATTGAAGTAGTTTATTAAAATATTCAATAAAGTGTGAGACAATTAATATATAACTTCATTCTTTAAATATGTGATAATAGTTCAATTTTAATTCATGTGTATAAAAAAATTATTGGGAGAAGTCAATGACATAATTGGATTTTAATATTTCAAATGATCGATCTTTAACTCTTGGTTAAGTGATACTCCGTTTTACTAAAAGAAAAATAATTTATAAAAATAAGGTAGCTTATAAACAACTAACTTTTTTTCATTTTTATTTGAAATTTGTCCTTTTTTACCCCAAACTAAATATGTACTTTTATATTTATTGTAATGACCTTACAAATTTTTATATTTTATAGTTTAATAACAAGGTAGTGAAAAAATATAAATTTAATTACTTAAGATTATCATACAAAACAGTTATTGGATATGCCACAATATATGTATGTATAAGAAATAATAAATTGAAAACATAAATGTCCTTTAATAAGACTACAAAATAATCCTATACATACATAAATATAACACATGCATACACACACAATAATATAAAACTAAAAATATAAATTTTAAGTTGTCAGTCAAACAACTATTTTATATAAGTTATATTAGAGTAGCATCTAACAAAAGAAGCATTATTATCTCCAACATGACACTTCAACAACCAATCATGTTCTACTCTCATAATAATATAATCATCGCAGTCTAACACATTAAAAAATACAAGGGTGAACTTATAAATAACAAAGAAACACCACACAGAAGTAAAATAAAACTATATCAACAATTTCATCATTGCAACACATCTGCAACCTAATGTCCAACTTAACAACACATACTAGCATACAACATAGATTTACAACTCAACAACTAATCAACATACAACAATGTGTCATTAATACAACATTTAAACTCATCATGCGATTAACACAATAACAAATTACAACACAACTACTTGTTCAACACAACAACTTAAACAACACTACAACACAATGTGTCATCAATTTTTAACTAAGAGATCTTTTATAACACATATGAGTAATCTAAGTAGTTAGACCTTATCAAACCAAACTTTAATAGTCGATCAATCCACAACACAACATGATTTATCAAATTTAATCACTTAAAGTAAGAAAGTCTGGTACCCGTCATCAAAAATAGTGTAGCTTGGGTATGAGTATGTCATGAAATTAACATGCATTAACCAAATTATTTTTGGGTACGACTTGCTAATTATCCTCGTGATACCACACATCTTTTTAGTAATCAGTTAAAGATTTTACCCTTCGACTTCATACCTTATTTAATTCTAACTAAGGGTTTAAAAGAGACTCAATACTCCACTTTAAGCGACAATAATACTCAATGATTGGGCTCAAAGGGGGGGGGGTTTCAACAAAAATACTCCATAGAGCACCACAATATATATATATGTGTGTGTGTATGTGTGTGTGTGTACAATGAGATATTTTAGCTATTTAAACAACATTTTTCCTTTAATCCTAAGTTAAGAGCATAACACAACAATGCCTAATGCATTTACAACATAACTCAATGAATAATGCATTTACAAAACAATTCCACAAAACAACATGCCAATTGCATATCTTAGCATAACAATACTCAACAACATAATTCATATATTTTATCAACACAATTCAACTCCACAACATGCTTCCTACAATTTCTATACATCACTACACATGAAAATGCTTATCATGCATCAACAACACAACATACAACAATATACAACTCAAATACATTCAACATAATCACGCCTCGTGTGGTCTACCCATGCTTAGCAATTATCTCGGTGTTACCTTCCCACAACTGACGACAATGAGGTAGAAAACCTCTAAATCACTCACGCCTATGTATGGATCCTTCCATGCCCAACGTCATTTAGACAGGGAGCCTCTATCTAACCTATGCTTAGCACTATCAAACTTGCCCCCAACATCGTTAAGGTAGAGAGCCACTAACTTGATTATGCCTAAAACACTACTGATCTTGGATCTAGCATCACCAAGATAGAAAGCTCACAAGGCAATCACGTTCGACGCCCCTCAACCAACACCCAACGTGACCAATTTTAAAAACTACCCTCTAACTCACGCTCGGTGCTATGCATCTCGTGCTCGACGTCAGTGAAACAAATAGTCTTTGACCAATGCTTAATTCTCACCTATAAAGCTTTGAATTTCAACCCAACAATACAATCTACGCTCCAAGGAAGTATAGGAGTGATCTATGAAGTTAGAAGGAAGAACAATTCTCCTTTGGCTCTAGAGTTTATCTCACAAACCTTTCTCTAACTTTCTTCAAAATACGAATGTATGAAGTTCAAGTTTTAATAAAATCTTATATACCTTATCTTGAACTTTATTAACTTTAACCTTAACATAAAAATAACTCCTAAACAACTAAACTCATAAAAATTCTTAAATTCTCAGAGTTTTAAAACAACTAAACAACAAATCACACAATTATTTAATTAATAAAATTGAATAAATACTCACAAAACTCATAGTGTTACATTTATTAGTTAACTTTATCAACTAATTTTATTAAACATTTTCAATTCACTTTACCAAAAAATTTTAATTCAATGGATTAGATCATGAATTTTCAGATTTTCAATTCTTAACTTTTTTTTTTTGTTGAATAAAATTAATAGAACAAAAAGACATTCTTAATATCATCGGGCAGGATACCAATGACATATTAGAGTTGTCATCTAAGGTTCACCTAGAAGATTACTGCACTAATCTGATCCACAAACAATTCTACTCGATTATAACTTAGTCTCTAAACATAAAGAAATCTCCTTTAAAAAAAAAAAAAAGTTACCCACAAAACAAGAAAAGGGACATTAAAAAAATTCGATTCCGCACCCATAGAAAAAGTAAAAATTCGGTCTACATCCTTAAACTTATAAACTTCAACCACTTTATAAGCTAATTTTATCACAGTAGTTTTATTAAACACTTTTATACTTCTATCATATTTTATACTATTATATATTATTTGACCCCTAAATTAAGCCTAATTGTCTAGTTTAGCTTTCTAGTATTGTCGACTAGTTGCTAACTCAAATTTGGTATATTGACAATTCAAATGATATAAGACACCCAATTCAATTAATGTAGCACGGCATGTATCTGTTTTCAAGTGGCCAATCGCATATATATACTATTAGAAATGTGTTACTTTTAAAATTGCTAAATATTAGTGACAAGTACAGTAGACGAATAAAAACTAGAAAGAAAAATTTGCATCCAAGGCAGAAATTTTGTAGTGCTGGATTCACTCACGCAAGTTTTGGGTGTTTTTCCTTTTTAGTAGGCTATGCAACCCAGAAAAAGGGCCCATGTAAGATACACTCATGTCATGTGGAGTGTTATTTATTTATTATTATTATTATTATTATTATTATTATTATTTTCTCTACAACATTCTAATTTCTACATCAATTTATATATTTATTGTTATCACTGGGGTTTAAGACTTTAAGGTAGCTCCCTCCGGGACACGTGGAAGGCCACACGTCTATATATACTCTAAACCCCACCACCTTACTTCACTTCACCCCAACCATCGAACCCTAACTCCTGGTTTGGGATTTTACTCTCTCACGCCTGACCTTCAATTCACTCCACCATCTTCTCAAGCCTCTCGCCCAGGGCCAGGTTTGCATTTCATGTCTTTGGTTTTTCTTTTTTCTTTTCCTTTTTCTCGTCGTATTTTGTGCATGTCTGTTGTTTTTTTGCAGTTTCTAAATTGGTAGTTGATTGTTGTTGTGCAGAGTGCAGAGATTAGGGATTGAAGATGGTGTCCGACGCGAGCAAGAAGAAGGCTGCACAGAAGAAGGCGGCTGCAGCGGCCAAGAGAGGAGGCAAAGCGGCTGCGGCGGCTGCTTCGTCCAAAACGACGTCGTCGTCGGAGAAGGCAGCCGACAAGCTCGCCGACGGAATTGGGGACATTCAGATTTCTGATCGGACCTGCACTGGTGTCCTCTGCTCGCATCCTCTTTCCAGGGATATTAGGGTCAGTAGTAGTGTGTTACATATCCACTGCCTGCAATTCAATCCTGTTTAATTGTATTTTTGTTTTTTTTTTTATTTTATTATTTGGATGAGCAAGAGAAGGAAAAGTAAAATTTGTTTGTTATAAGCTAAAACGAGCTAATACATAAAATTTTGGAGAAACTAATGAGAGAATTTATGCCAATTAACTTATATGTCATAATCATCTAATTTTAACTTATGAAGAAACTATTTTTTTTTTATATTTTTTTCTGATGTATTATGGAGAAGTTTATCTAACGAGACCATGGCTGATGATACCATGTTAATTTGAGTTTCTTTATTTGGCGTTTTGGTTCTGTTGATTTTACCATGTTGTCTAGATTTAGAGATGATGCTTATAACGTCTGGATTTCGTGGAAGAAAGAATTTGGGTTCTAAAAAGACTTGAATAATTTGTTTCCTGTTTTCTTATTAAAGGATACAAGTACATTTCCTTGCTCCTAAAGCGCTTTCTTATATAGTTACCTTGATGCCTATGCATTTGGCTCCATGTAATATAGTGATTAAATTTAGCTGAATTTATGCTGTTATGGGTGTCATAGTATATATCTTATCACCCGAGTTTAGATTTAACATTTTTTTCCTCCATTTTTAGGGTCTAGCTAATACTTTAGCTCAATGTCTTACTTTGTCCTTTTAAAAGAATTTGCCTTGATTTTTCTACTGGAAATCTTCTGGCTTACTTTTATATGCTTATCTTATACTGCATTGTCCCCCCATTAATTATTAATACATATTTTCTGAACTCGGAATTTATAAGTTCTATAAATGTAGTAGACATTCGCAGTATAGCAAGTCTTACTTCTAGCTTGTTGTTGCTTGCATGGGAGTGTGTGTGTGTGTGTACCTACTGCCTAGCCAAGCTCTTGGGTCTGTAGAATAGGCATTGTACTATGTTGCCAAGGTCAAAAACTTGGTTCTTCTGCATGAATCAAATTAAATACTCCTGTTGCAAACTCGTTGGAGAAAGGTTAATATTGTAATATTATGCAATAAATAGGATTTTCTGCCTTAGTAAGTGTAGCTAATTGTTTATGCATTTAAAATTATTAGTATTTTATTGACGTATTTATTTATGCTGTATTTACAGATAGAATCTCTGTCAGTTACTTTCCATGGACATGATCTAATAGTTGATACTGAATTGGAGCTAAATTATGGAAGGTTTGTCATCTTCACAATTTTGTTCTGCTTCTGGTTAGGATGCTATAATTTATAACTAATAGTTTTTGGTGATAAATGTTTACTTTAAATTCCTTTAAGACGTTATGGCTTGCTTGGATTAAATGGTTGTGGAAAATCTACCCTGCTTACGGCAATAGGTTGCCGAGAGTTACCTATTCCAGACCACATGGATATTTATCACCTTACCAGAGAAATTGAAGCCTCTGACATGTCTGCACTGGAGGCTGTCATAAGCTGTGATGAGGAAAGGTTGAGATTGGAGAAAGAAGCTGAAGCTTTGGCAGCTCAGGTGTGTTTAAGTAATATAAAATGTGTATGTTTTTTTCACTGCTATTTTATTCTTTTGGATCACTTGATTGGTTTTTGGTCCAGGATGATGGGGGTGGTGAAACTCTTGAACGAATTTATGAACGATTGGAAGCCATGGATGCATCAACTGCAGAAAAGCGTGCTGCTGAAATTTTATTTGGTCTTGGTTTCAACAAGCAGATGCAGGCAAAGAAGACACGTGATTTTTCTGGTGGCTGGAGAATGAGGATTGCTTTAGCACGTGCTCTATTTATGAACCCAACCATCCTTTTACTTGATGAACCAACCAATCACCTTGGTATTCCTCCTTCCTGAAAAGAAAAAAAAAAAAAAAAACTAGTTTGTTAGTGGCTGAATAGTCACATTACCTTGTCATGTTTATGCATTGATTTATTTATTTCAAAATAAACCTTAAGTAAAGCAGTAATTGATGTTAGCTGTTATTTTTTAAAATAAATTTGATTTATTTGTTTTCTAAGTGTATTTGATATCTGCGTAATTGATGTTACTTGTGTTTGATATCTGTGTAGTTGATATTAGTTGTTATACTTTCAAATTAAAATCAATTTATTTGTTTTCTACATGCCTATATGATATCCGTGACCATGAGGTATTCTTGCTCTTGTTTTGTAGTTACGTCTGTTTGCATGTTTCAACCTTCTGGTCCTGTAATAACTGTTGATTCATGCTTTTATGAATATATATTTGCAGATTTGGAAGCTTGTGTGTGGCTGGAAGAGAATTTGAAGAAGTTTGACCGAATTCTGGTTGTGATTTCACACTCCCAGGATTTCCTTAATGGTGTCTGCACAAATATCATGCACATGCAAAACAAGAAGCTGAAGCTCTATACTGGTAATTATGATCAATATGTTCAGACACGTGCTGAACTAGAAGAGAACCAGATGAAGCAGTACAAATGGGAGCAGGAGCAAATTTCCTCGATGAAGGAATACATTGCCCGATTTGGTCATGGATCTGCAAAACTAGCTCGCCAAGCCCAGAGTAAAGAGAAAACTCTTGCAAAAATGGAACGTGGTGGACTCACAGAGAAGGTGGTAAGAGACAAAGTTTTGGTATTCCGCTTCGTTGATGTGGGAAAACTTCCCCCGCCTGTCCTCCAGTTTGTTGAGGTGACATTTGGTTACACTCCTGATAATCTGATCTACAAGAACCTTGACTTTGGGGTTGATTTAGACTCTAGGATCGCTCTGGTTGGACCCAATGGAGCTGGGAAGAGTACATTACTGAAGCTAATGACTGGTGATCTGGTTCCTATAGATGGCATGGTTCGACGGCACAATCATCTTCGAATTGCACAATTTCACCAGCACTTGGCTGAAAAGCTAGACTTGGAATTGTCTGCTCTTCAGTTTATGATAAAAGAATACCCTGGAAATGAGGAGGAAAGGATGAGAGCAGCTATTGGGAAATTTGGACTGTCAGGTAAAGCGCAGGTGATGCCAATGAAGAATTTATCAGATGGGCAGAGGAGCCGCGTGATATTTGCATGGTTAGCTTATAGACAGCCTCATTTGCTGCTTCTGGACGAGCCAACTAATCATTTGGATATTGAAACAATTGACTCGTTGGCTGAAGCATTGAATGAATGGGATGGTGGGATGGTGCTTGTCAGTCATGATTTTAGGCTCATTAATCAGGTGGCCCATGAGATATGGGTGTGCGCTGATCAAGCTGTGACCAGATGGGAAGGTGACATTATGGATTTCAAGGAGCACCTAAGGTCAAAGGCGGGTTTATCTGACTGAACCGAAGAAAATAGTATCACTATTTGAAGATTACACACTTGTATTACAATGCAGGTGGGGGTGTTGATTTAAATGGATGGCAGAGGATCGGTGTAGAAATCATGCTCTATATTTTTAAGCCGAGATGCCCTTCTCCCCTGTTAGATTGTGGTAATCTTTCTTTTGTTTTTCTATCATTTATTGTGCTTATTATCAATATGGTTGTTGACCAGCATGTAGATAACAGGGGAAGCTAGTATCTCAATCAAACTTTTACGCGGCTAATATTATGAAATATGAATGATATGTTGTACTGAGACTTATATTTAATTTCCTCTGCCTCTCTTCCTACTAATAATTCTTCACCCTTGGTATGTTCCATTCGCTTGTTTGTTTGTATTATTTTATTTTATTTTATTAATTTGGTCATACGCGGGGATAAAGATGAAAGGGTGTTTCAAATTCATCCATGGCTGTATGTTATTCAAAAGACGTGTGCATCTGAAAATTCACGTCAAAATTTTCAAAAGACGGAGAAGATAAATTGTTTCTAAATGGATCTGGATTCTTTTTCTAAACCGAACATGCTAGTAATTTTTCGCTTCAGTGGACATGTCAAATTTGGTGAAGAAGCATAAACAAAAACGCCGGAGGTAAAAAAAAAAGGTTTGCAAGTATCATAACATGTAATTATACCGGCTAAAAAAAATTACTTCTCTAAAATTAATTTTAAAACATGAATAACTTACCCAGTCCATCATATTTATCATATTTGGTTTCTCATTTGAATCCTAAACTTATGGTTTAGGAAAAATAATAAAGTTTCTACCTGAATTATGATTCGAGACTTTCAAACAAAAAATCAAATAACATTCAGTATAATTTCAATGATCCCAATACAAAAAACGCAAATTTTGCGAATCTAAACAAGTTCAACGATAACATTGCTAAAATCAGTTGTGTTTATAACCCGTCAAAAACAGCTGTCTAAAGAGCAAAGAGTCCCACAACTCACCGATTACTGTAAAACAATATCCAACATCAGCCGTAATTATATAATATGTATGTATATATTGCATATAAGGGTGGAATTAGCTATTTTCTTTGGAGGAAGCCAAAGATAAAATAGTTAAAATATATCTACAAAATTAATTCAATGAAGTTTATCAATAATTAAATAAAAATCGTAATAATAAATATGTATATAAAATATGGAATTTAATTAGAATATAATGACAATTAAATTGTCATCCACTCATCAATTATTATGTGTGATAAAATTATTAATTTTTTGTAATAATTTATTTAAATCACATTAGGCTGCTTTTTAATTAATTGTTGGTGTACATTGATAATGCATCAAAATAAAAATTTATAATAAAAAACCTAGCTAACCTACAATGGTTATTTAGAAAAATTAAGTTCAATTTGCAAGGTTAAATTCATAAATAATTCAGTGTGTATTGGAAAGATCAATATTTTTTTTTTAATATGAACAGTTAAGCTGTTTCTAGAAACTCATCAAGTTCTATTTATTTTTTATTTTTATTTCACAGGTATTGTCTTGGCAAATATTATTGTTGAATAACTTAGGAGTTGTATAATTTCTTGAGAATGCTGATAGCAATATGTGATATATCTTAATTGTAATATTAGATAACCAATATGTCAATATATTATTGGTTCACAATTTAGACCTTATGGATAAAAAAATTATTAGAAGAGGGATCTACCGAAGATAGTTAATTAGGTTATTTTATTTATGAAAATTAATTATTCATAAAATTGGTGAATATTTTACACATCAATAATACGATGATGCAAAATTATAATATTAGATATAGTATTTGTCTTTCTACTCAATGAGATTATAATAATGAAGTTTTTCTTATATCCTTCGAGATTAAATTACTTGTAATTGTTACTAAAATTCAAAAGTATATTCTAATAAGTCGAATATTTCATAGTCTTAATAAATAAGAGAGAAAAATAAGAAACCTATAAATGAAAGAGAAATTGAATTAAAAAATATATATTGTTTGGATAATAGAAAGAAAAGAAATAAAGAAATTTTTTTGTTCTTGTTTGAATTATATGGAAATTTTCATATACTAATTAAAAACTGAAATTTAATAAAAGTCATAAACAATATATATGTCGATATATATATATATATATATATATATATATATATATATATTCCTTTATCATGTATTTTTAGACAAAATTAAACATAATGGGAAAAAATTTCTTATTATTATTTCCTTATTTATGTCCCTAATTATTCTCACAAAATTAAAAGTTGAATCATATTATTTACGACTAAAAAATCCAAATCTAGAATTCTAGGTATACTTCTCCGACCTCCATTATTAGGATCATATAACTAAACCCAAAAAAAAAAAAAAAGTTAGGAATGGATGCAAAAGTTGTGGTGAGATATTTGGTTACCGTGTATGCCTGTGCGTGCGTCCTTTACTGCTGAAACTGAACTTTGTCATGTTTTGTAGCAATTCAATTCGTACGGAATGCTCTGAATTCTAAAATAATTGCTAAGTAAGAACTGTGTACTGTAACTGTTTGGTTTCGCGTCTTCATGAGAAGAACGCGTGTACGGGATGTGGATTTCAGAACCTATTTATTTTAAACTATTCTTAATTAAATAAATTTAATTTAATTTATAATATAAATAAATGTCAACTATAATATTATATAATTCCAAATATTCGATTTATGTTAAATTTAGTGTGCATATACCGAGTTAATATCAACATATTTAACAGTTTAGTTTAATTAATAAGATTTAGTATATGTGGAAAACTACTAAAAGGATTAACTCTCTAAAATATTTTTCTAACAATTTCATTCTTCCTTTCTCGCTCATATATATTTAGGATTAACTGTGACTACCCTATTTATATATAAAAAATGAGAAGGGATTAGGACGGTTAGAAATATAAAGATCAGGTTCAATTCTCAACAATTATTTTTATAATCTCATATTTTTACCAAAATAATATACAAGAAACTGCTTACATTTTATAATCATGGGATGTTTGAATAAATTTTTATACAATTACTTTAAAGAAGAAAAAAAAAGTTGAAAAATGAAACAAACATGTTCAAAATTTAAAATTAATTAGTTATGCATAATTAATTTGTAAAATATTATTTTGTTATTAACTTGTATATAAGATAATTTCATCTTATAAAAAAATTATTATATAATTACTTTTTTATTTATTTTTCTTAAAAGGATTTTGTAGAAAAGTTTATCTATACAGATCTTGTATGGAATATTTTTTATATTTATATCATGAAATGTATTGATATTTAAATTATATGAATAATATTTAGATATTAGTAAAGATTAATATTTTGTGAAAAACAGTATTATTGCGGATATTTTATTATGGTATAAAGTTGCGCATGAAACACGTTTCTAGAAACATATGAATTGGTCAAATATATACTACGATTGAAGTTATGACCTTTGTACATATTATTATAATGTACTTTTTTGGTATAAATGCAAGATTATATTTGAGTACAAGGTGTAGTCAAAACACCGAAGCATTGCTAATTAGACTAAATGTCCAAGAGTTCAACTGTGATAAAATGTTTGATAAGGTATCTCACTCTCTCGGATTAACATCTCCAATTCTATTGGTCACTATTTATTTGAGTTGGATCATGAACATTGACTCTGATTCTGATATTATTGTTGGAGGGTTTTCAAACACTAAAAAGCATTATACAATTAGCATCGATTAAAAAACATAATTAAATGACACACATTTTAACTTCAAGTATGCATTAAGTTATATAGATTATAATTATCAAAAACTGAGAGTTGTATTGACCTCTTCATCTTGTCTGTACTCTATCACTTCCTCTATTTTCTATTATAAATGAAAAAAAAATTATTTTTTATGTATATTAAAAATTTTAATTATTTATATTAAATTTAATCATTTTTATTATATTTTCTTAAATTATTCTTATTATAAATTAAAAAAATACAACTAAAAAATCATGTGTACCTGCATGAGGGTACTTCAATAATTTTGTTATTCTTGCTAGGTCTTTGTCTTCCATGATGTATCATATCATAGGGAA